TTTGTTTTTGGGGGGGGGGGGGGATGTATTGTAAAATATAGCATTATGAGGCTAAGCTTTAGATTTTGTTTCAGGTTTGGATGTTTGTGTTCAAAACACCTCGAGTCTTTAGTTTCTAAGTTAGTCAAACATCTGGGCAAACATGTAGGTATATTCCTTAGGGGATTGTAGTTCAATGCTTAGATCACGGGGTTTTCTTGTTTATGTTAGCAAAGGAGATAGACCCCTTCAGTAGTTTGATTGCTTGGAATGGAAGGGGAACAGCCAACGGAGGTCAAGCCAAGCAGGAGCACCAAAGCTTCTACAGCAGCCCATCGGAAAGGCAGAGAGCCCTTAGAGGAGTCCTCCAGTGACATGGAAGTGGAAAACGAAGGTGACAAACAGCTTCGTGCAGTACCTCCACAAGGTAGGTCTGAATATTGTGGTTCTCGTGGTGTGTAAACTTGGTGTGATTGTGCCTGTTTAGCAACAACGTTTGGTTGAATTTACCAGCTGTTGCATATAGGATTTGTTCTTTTCTCTTCTAGAAAGGAATATTGAAAGCTTTGAGTCCTGGCAAGTTTAAACTGCTTTCGAAATGATAAAGAAGGCTAGCAAAGAGTTAAAGTGTTTGGACCAGTGATTTAGTACAAGTGCAAAAGCAATTTGTAGACTTTCCCCTAATAAAGCCTATTTCATATTCCTGATCTGTAACATTGTACTTAAGATTGTGGTACAACAGCAGGATTTTTCAAATTTATATGCAGCCAATGGTATGGGATTTCTTGGAATGGAATAAATGTCAAGTTTATTTACTTAACTATTAAAATGATTTGACTTTCTTTTTCATGAAACTGTATTTTCTTGAGTTTCCCGAGTTGAGTTTTTGAGGAAAATGCCTGGAAAAAACAGCAGTGTGTGTCTTTTTAGGTAGCCAGATAGGCGATTGTTGAAGCAAGGTATTTGACAAATAGATTAATATGTTGAAATTGGTGGCAAATACTACTGTCTTTTTGAGGAAAAAGTTGCTAGTAACTGTTGAAAAGCTGCTTTGCTTACAACTAGCTGATATCCAGGGGGCCAGTTTGTTTTCGTAACAAACTTCCTGTCTTTGCAGAGTAGTTATGCTGTCATTACAGCTTTCAAGCATTGTGCAGCGATCCCCAAATCTTGCAGAGTGACTTGTGAGCACGCTTGAAATGTGGCTTTGCACTTATTAATTAGAAAGACTTTGCCTGTTTCAGATTTGTAGGCTTATTGTGACGGTTGTAGCTATTGTAATTGCAGAGTGCCTATTAAAGTGTGTTAGAATAAGAATTACATAATGAAAGAAAAAACCCACTAGTGAATCGATGGGACATCTTAAGTATCTCTTTTTAAAGAGTTCAGTTCACAGAAAGTAGAATTTTAATTCCACTTAACTCGTTTTAATAATTACGGGCAAAATTATAGGTTTGGTTCGTATAGAAATGATGTTTGCTTTTCCAGTTAAGCATTTTAAAAGGTGTCTAGTCATTGAGAGCTTATAGTCTTTTTTTTTTTTTCTTTTCTGTTTATTTTGGATGGTTTCTAGCAGTCTCAGATGAGGTGCTTGATAATCGAAGTTTAGAAGAGATTTTGGGTAGCATCCCTCCTCCCCCACCTCCAGCAATGACCAATGAAGCTGGTGCTCCTCGTCTCATGATAACTCATATTGTAAACCAGAACTTCAAATCCTATGCAGGGGAGCAAACTTTGGGACCTTTTCATAAGGTATTTTTCTTTTATCTTAAACATTTTTTTTAAACGAAGGTAAGACTTCACTGTGTGTTAGTATTCCTTCCTGTATTTTCATGTAACCTTATCTCAAAATAACTGAAAAATATTTAAATTTTAGAATGACTTATACAGTGCTATTCTAAATTTTCAGTATTGGACAATACAGAAAACAGTAAAGTGCAACTTTCTGATACTGCACAATTTTAATTTATCAGTAAACCTTAGAAAAAGGACACTTTTCTCTTTATTTCACTTACTGGCGAACTTTTAGGGGTGTGTTTGAAGAATGAGAATATTTTTTGAGTGCCCACAAGAGACTTACGTGGCTAATCATGAAACTTTCCTTGCGAACATGCTTGCTAAATGCAGTATCGCTTTGAGTTAACAAGTTAAAATTTAGAAAGCTGAGTTGAGGTGTGGGTTTTTTTCTTAAATAAATTGTACTGCTTTACCTTTGGCAGTATCACTATCAAATAGTCTGCAGTTTCATGCAGTAGAAATGATTA